AAGATGGGGCTCCGTGCCACACCTCGAACCGCACTCAGAAGTGGTTGCAGGAACATCTTCTGTTCTGGGTGAAGGATATGTGGCCGCCATCCAGCCCCGATCTTAATCCGCTGGATTACTCAATATGGAGCGTCATGAAGGCCAAGGCCTGTTCTAAACGCCACCCGAGTACAGCAAGCCTCCGACAAACATTGACCCGTACCTGGAGAGAAATGGATCCAGACTACATTATTAGAACCTGCCGTGCATTCCGGAAGCGTGTGGAGGCCGTAATTGCAGCAAGTGGAAACTCGATCGATGATTAACATATTTTAAGACTCTGAGAAACATATATAACCCTTTAAATAAATAAAAAAAAACTGGAAAACGAAATTTTTGAAATTTATTTTAATTTTGACATTGCTCAATGGTGCAAACATTATCACGCCTACGGTAGAACTAAGATTTGTACGTAAGAAATATTATAAATCCTCTATAAGGGGTAGTAAGTCTTTAGGATTAAGTCGTGACGGTTAGTGAGTCGTAGTAGTCGTCAGTTAGTTAGTAGTCGTGGGACAGTCGTGACGATTAGTCAGGAGTGAGTGGTGACTGAGGCGGTCAAGTGTTGAATGTAGACTGGTTACTGGTTACTGGAAATCAAGAGTTAGTCTTCAGCCTAATCAGTACACAGTTCAGTTGAGTTAGTTAGTTATTTAGAAAAAAAAGTGTAACTGTTGAACAAGAAAATAAAATAAAGCTAGAGTAGATGAAACGTAATCGTAGGGTAATCTTCATATATAAAATAGCCTTAGCCAAACGGCGCGCTTCACTGACACTGGAAAACATGTATGGTACCTTTATATATGTATTTAGATCAACATCTGAAATCCCTCCTTTTTACATATTTTGCAAAAAAGAAAAATTTTGCCCCGCTCCATTCATACAAAATGGCTAGAAATCCTGTTAGGGCGGAGCTTAGATACTATTTCCGTACATACTATGTAAAAAGGGAGTGACTTCTGATGTATGTTTTGTGCAGAATATGTTAAAAAGGAGGGACATCGGATGTTAACCTGAATGCATATATATATATAGACAATCACAATTTTTTGTAGTTTCCGATCGATGTCATCACAAACAACAGCTGTGGTATCTGATAGAAAATTATTGCAAAAGCTTGAGAAAATGGTTAATTACATACCCTGCTGGATACCCCAAGTCAAAATAGCTAATGATAGCTCATGGTGTTAAAAGCAGCCTTGATGTTGGTGTATACAGTATCAACTTGTGCTCGTGTATTGCATTGATGCGGAAAGAACTGCACGAACTTTTTTTTTTTTAAATGCACTCAATTCTGTTTTTACGTGATATTCATTTGTTCGATTTTGCCCTCATTCGAAGTGTGCCGTGGTTGCTATTAGACGCGTTTGTTTTCGGGCACTGGAGTTGTCGGTTCTGCATTTGTTTATTTTTGTGGCCATACAAATTACATGAGATCTTCGACATGATTGAAGTGCATCCTCTTGGATGTAATATTAAAATTTAATTTTCGCTGTGAAGTTGGCTATGAATCATTCATTGTAAGACAATGATAAGTACTCAGATTCAACTTGTCGAAATTGTGAACAAACCGCGCAATTAAATACATTCATGAAAAAGGAGCAAGGCTTCCGAAGTTCCCAAGTGAAATTTGCAGATGAATTTCAATTTTTTAAAACATGAGCCCGTTTCTGTAAAAGAAAGTGCTTCAGCCGGAACTTTCCGCAAGTAGCTCCAACAAAGAAACAGGTTCTACTGTGTTTCCTGCAGATGTCATGGAGGCATCTTCAAGGAGTCTACCAGCCCACCGTATCGAACCATCTTCATTTCTTATGCAGGATCAGGAGCTGCCTTCACAATGCTAGTAAATTCCTGATGATGAGAAACAATATACCAGGAGGTTAAAACATTCGCTAAACTGTGCCACTAAACAGATATACTACACGATCAATTTGCGATAATGAGTAAATTTGCCTTGTGTTTTCTGTGGAAAACCTAAAAAAAACTACTTGAAAATGAGACCTGCTGCGGATTCGGTACAAGCTGTTGAGAGTTTGCGTGCCCCAGTCTTCGATTTTCAAGGTCCAAGAAGAGAATATCGACACAGCAATTTAATACCATGCTCTACCAGCCTGTCCAACCATATCTCTCTATGAAAGACTTCCATGGCTAGTGTGACTGTAAAACAAAAAAGAAAACTCTTCCGATATCTCTTGTTGGCTTCTCGAAGAAAAGGATTCATGTTGCCATGATTACAAAGGCGCTACCGTTGCCGGTATGCAAACGCCAATGCAAACGTATACTCAACAGGCTCCGGAATTGTAACCGGATTCCCTTTCGCTCATTCAATATATACGAGGATGTTGCATCAACGCGAGGAACGTGTCGTTGTATCTGGTTAAATGCTTAATATATATCAGGTTTCCCATAGAGCTTAGGATTGGCTAGCTCGTGTTCAACTGCTGTTGACACGAAACCCACCTCCACTTCAGTCATCCAAGATCTCATTCGAATATTTGCTACTACCACCAAGATCTGTGCTAGTGGCGGCTCCATGTCGGCTTACGCCAGGCACTTCAACGCACACCACCAGACCCTCCTACTCACTGGCGTCTCAAAGGGTAGTCGTGCGAACGCGCTGCCCCACTTGTACGCCAGCGGTAATGTATAGGCAAACGACTTAAGTGCCATCCATTTTAAGGGCTAATTGCTTCGGCAGGTGAGTTGTTACACACTCCTTAGCGGATGACGACTTCCATGTCCACCGTCCTGCTGTCTGTAGCAATCAACACCTTTCATGGTATCTATGATGCGTCGTTTATATAGGCGCCGTGACATTACGTTTGGTTCATCCTACAGCACCAGTTCTGCTTACCAAAACTTGGCCCACTAAGCACACAGATATCTTCTACGCCGCTTATGGAGGCAACAACCGCAGGGGGCCGGTCCGGCGTCAACGCTGCAATAACATCATGCAAGAATGTTATGGTACGTACCCATTTATAGTTTGAGAATAGGTTAAGATCATTTCGAACCTAAGGCCTCTAATCATTCGCTTTACCAGATAAGGATAGAGTTCGAAACGTTGCGTGCTCCAGCTATCCTGAGGGAAACTTCGGAGGGAACCAGCTACTAGATGGTTCGATTGGTCTTTCGCCCCTATGCCCAATTCTGACAATCGATTTGCACGTCAGAACTGCTTCGGTCCTCCATCAGGGTTTCCCCTGACTTCAACCTGATCAGGCATAGTTCACCATCTTTCGGGTCACATCCTGCACACTCACGGTATGTTGTGGCACGGTAGGGCCCCGGAGGGCCTCACCGCATGCCTGGTACAACACCCGGGGTTGGAGGGACGCTGCAGAGAGCCGCGCCCGTAATCCCGCACAACTCAAGTTATGTTTTTTGCGCCTTTGGTGTTCCGGAGGACGACCATTGGCTCGCGCGTAAGATAGACTTCTTGGTCCGTGCTTCAAGACGGGTCCCGAAGGTACCTCGATTTTATCATTGCCGATCGACAGTCCGCCGGTCCATTGCGGGAAGACCGAGGCGGTGTACGCGGAAATCCATCACGCGCCCGACTGCAAAACACCACGTGCAGTAAGCCCCACCTCGCGGCACAGGCCTTCAGAACTGAGCGTCGCTACTGTGGAGCAAGCAACCAGCTGTCGGGCGACCTTGCGTCCTTGCGTAAATCCCAGTCCCAAAAAATTATCAACGTCCTTATTAACGCATAATTAAAAAATGTACCCAAGTAAGACAAATTCATAGGATTATGATGAGTAAACTGCTTTACAACTAAAACCAGTCACATAAAGGTTATATGTAGTAGTTTAGAACATATATGTTGCTTGGGTATGCTTACGAGTGGTTAGTTTACATTTTTATCTTTTAAATCCATGCAATAAGCATCAAATAATTGCAGTAATTTGCCAGAAATCACCAACATTATACATGACAAAAAATTATTACGTGCGCTGGTTTTGTTTGCTTCATTGTACTAAGATGTTCTGTCGCTGACAGAAACCAGTTCAGAAATGTCACGACATTTTTTCCGCTTGCCAGTTTGTTTTGTTGTGTCTTCACTATGGTCATTGCAATGTAGCGGGTCGGGTGTTTTGGGAAGAGGAACTAATTACTACCTTCACTTAAGTGACAGGTAGACGAATCTATCGTGAAGGAGCGATGGGCTCAAATGGACCCGTCCCGGCTTGGAGATATCAGGGCGAATTCAATCAAACTCTTAATGGCGGCAAAGCGGTTGCGAACTCCGAAAAGGGGGACTTACCAACAGGGAAAAGCCTTAATACATCGGCAAAAAAGGCTTCCTATGGTGGTTTTCCTCTACTTGCCTACAGGGGAAACTTATCGATACGCGGAAAAATGGTGTATCCAATTAGATCCTTAAAAGAACAAAACTGTTTTTCCATTCTCCTCAACTAGATTCTAGGGTCTATGGCGTGCCAAGAAGAAAAGGTTTTTTTCAGGTGTGTTGTAAGGCTGGTTTTTCTTTTCTTTTGATGGGGTTAGTAGAGTGTGTACAATGGGCTGGAGTGTACTTAAAGTTATCTGACCTGTTTTTGGACGTGTGGTTTCGGTGATTTTTGCGATACTCTGCAGGGTGCCGCTGGGGGGTAGTTTTCCACCAACGGCGGGTCGTGGTGGTACGACAAATCGTGGTTTCGATGCGATATACTACGCGGCGTGCGTCTTGGGTATCGCGTCGTCGAGCTTCGAGAACGAAGGCAAGAGGTAGCAGATTACCCCACGCTACTAAGGTGAGTTTCCGATCGGTGGGAACGAAGCTTCCCCACGATTTTCACCTCAACAGGTGGCTATAGACGGATAGGTGGCGGTTGGGTAGCGCCGGTATCGTTGAGCGGCGTCGAATCGTGCCACCCCTCACCCGGGAACCCCGTCACACAACCCTTCCAACTTTTTTTTTCTTTATTAAAGAGACTTTCAGCCTTGGGCTGGTTCGTCTCTGGTCAGGTTAACTAACTTGTTCTTATGACCTCTTGATCCCTTGTGGCCAAGTTAAATAAATGAGACAATCTTATTTCTGCTGATGGAAACTTCCAAAGTGGTAAGCTATGAGTGAAGTAAGGAGGAGTATTGAGGGTGTAAATATAAAAGACAACATATGTATCCAACACTGTAGTTGTTATGTACCATCAATTGTCAGCAAATATTGATGCAATAAAATCAAACAGAATTTTCTAATTTAGATATGCAACTTCAAATGCAACACTATGCATACATTCCTATCATTCAAACACACCGTCCGCAGGCCAGTTCCTCATTCTATTAAAGTCAAGTTCTTGCTCATGATGGCTGCCATGAGGAGAGTGGATGATTGCCGCCAGGATGTGGAAAATGCATGTGTATATCCGTTTACTTTTACATAAAACCATTCATTGCTATAGATCGGCTCTGCCCTGATGTCACCTCCGGATGACATAAACAAAATGGGAAAGAGAGCACCCGAACAAGAGGTGCAACCGGCAATCTAGGTAGACTAGGTAGGTATTATGAGATTGAAACCATTCAATGCGAGCTGAATGCGCCACGCTTCGAGTCCTACTACTAGTACGAGTATGTTGTATTCCCAGCCAGCAGTAGGTTACCTTAATACAAAATGCTATTCGCAGCACTACAGATTCACATATTGAGGTTCAGAAACGATATGATGGGTTCTTATGTGGCAGGTAGGTTGCACGAGAGCTGTCTGTCACTTGTTTTGCATGCGGTGCGTTTTATAACGAGGATCAATGGCTGGAAAAATGGAAAAGTTATGTTTTGTCCTGCGCGTGTTCCCATGTGTGGAGCTCTGATTTCAGAGTTTTTTTTTTGCTGCGAATATTTCATAAATCCTTTTTTTTTTGTAATTCAAGCGTGAAAGTTCATCTATGGTTGTTTTTTTTTTTTTAATTTTTGACTAGTTTGTTCTACTCTCACTTGTCCTCGATTCCGCTCTATCACACCCGTACGAACGTGGTGGAGTTGTTGGCTTTAAAAATCCTTTTCCATTTGTTCACATCTGATCTGTAAATATTTTTCTACTGAAACACTTCATCACTTTTCGATACATTTTTTTTTATTATTTATTTGTGTGTGTTTTATGGATTCCTTGCATTTTGACTCGCACTGAAATTTACTCGGATCGTACAAAAAAAGTTTCCTACTGGTATGTACAACAAGCACTTGCGCTATTTCGCATATGACGGCTGTGAACCGAAAACCACTGCAAAGTGGATGGAAATTTATCATAAACCGAAGTGTTTAATTACATAATGGTTTTAATAAAACACAAAGTATCCCTTGTTAATATTATGAAGTTGATTTTATGATCAAAATGACGTGAGATTCACCCATAATCACATTAGGGAAGATGTACCCGATCACTGAAGTTTAAGGTGCTCATAGTACTATTGGTCGGACCCATCTTCCCTGAATAGTTCACACCTTTATAATTTTTATAATTTTGAAATCAATGCGTCTATGCTATAAATCATCTGTTTGCATGCAGTATTGAATAAATTTCCGACAATCTCCATCCACAGTGGCCTCGGTTCACCAGCTCCAATTTAACCGTATCACGGACACGATTGCCGATGTTTGCGTGTATGTATAGTATATAAGTCACTTCAGTGATGTGTATTCTGTTTTGCATCCTTCTCGCCACCACCGGTTCAATTTTCCCGGAAAAAAACAACTAATCAAATTTAGTGTGTGTATGATCTTCCACCAAATAAAGTCTGATTTTCTCGAATTCGATCGTCGTCTCGGCGGACGCGCACAAAACTTTCATTCACAACCGAACCGTCACGTCGTCAGATCGGAAGTATCGCACAAACATTCCCCCTATATCGACCGTAGGTATAGCTCATTCTGTTGGTCAGACTCACAATTACCCTTTTCCTCCCTTTTCCGCTTCCTTCGTCCGAAGCATGTGCGTGACTCTATCTATGCATTACTGACCGGGTGGGGGGAGAGACCTATCCCGGTGTCGTGCGAATCGCCAATTTATTATGTTCGATGAACCCGTTTCAAAAGTTCGCCTCCATCGTTGTGACGCTGGTCGGTTTTCCACTGCCGTTTGTGATGATGATGATGATGATGATGGTGGTGGTGGTGGTGATGCTGTTTCTGATGTTTGCTATGCGACGACGAGCCCATCTCGTCGTCGTCGTCGTCATCGTCCTTCGCGTGCTCGTCATCTATCGAATTGATGGCCGCTACCGGCAGTGGTGGGATCCTGTGTTTGCCGGCCACGATCTGGCCTTTGCCACCGGTGGTGACGGTGTCATTGCTGCCGATTGCTCCCGCAGGGTCAGTTGCTTTTCGCGTCGCACGACAATTTTTGCTCTGGAATAAATAAATAGAAATAATGGAGGGAAACTCAATTAGATTTATTCAATTTAATCGATTCGTTCCATTTCTGGAGAAGTGTTTTTATTTGATTACGGCGTGGCAACGAGGGAGTTTAAGATGGGTAACTATTAAATATAGTTGAAAGTTACTAGAGAATCTATTTTGAAAATTTGTTTCAAATTATTTAAAGACGCACTTTACTTCACCAAATAGACTGAGTTGGAAAAAAGATACGACTCGTAAAAATTGGAATTAAAAGATGAAAAGTTATTCCAATCAAGTAGCAAACGTTACAAATGTATTACATGTCGGCTCTTTACTCATCTCCAGTCTTTGATTTCACCTTCTTGAAGACTCCTGCAGAAGGAATCAAAAATATATTCAAATGACAAAATGACAAACGATCAACGAGCCGAACAATAACGCTTTTTCAGAAATCGAAAGCAATAACGATACAATCTGCAACACAGCTCGCTCGGGTCGATAGAAAGAAACGACGAGCTGCTTCACGAAGTAAAGTCGAAGACGATAAACGTGTGTAAAAAGGATTTTTTTTTTGTGTATTGTCTTTCCTCGATTCCAATCAAGCTATGATCAACCATGTAGGTATATTGCAACAAAGCAGGCAAGCAATATATACTTCGACAGTGAGCATGCATAAGGGCCTATACGCGATGATCGATTCTCTTCATCGATTTTCTCTTTTGTTAATAACTCGCTAGATTTAACGTTTCTCGGTGAGTTAGCTGTTGCTTTTGATAACCAATACAACCTGTTACTACTCTGCATTGAACAAATTCTAGAAACAAATTTCGATTAGCTGTAGCAATGCAAAGAGAAAATCGATTATGAGAATCGATCATCGCGTATTCGCCCTCATGCATGCTCACTGTCGACTTATCTTTCTACCACTCCGATCGCGCTGTGTTCATTCCTTTATTTAACGTCGGTCTCTGTTCCGCAATCTAGTGCCAATCACCGACGGACATCGATTGCCATCCATTGACGGCAATCGAATGTGCAGGAAGGCAGCTTCGACACCTGCGTAGGATATCGCACCCATTCAACACACATGGGCCGGGACGAACCGCTTTACTTCCCGAAGGAAGATGTGACCAGAGATTTTTATGCCTCAGAAAAATCCCACCGACCTCAGCTGGGATTGAACCCAGACCCATTGGGGTGTGAGAGATCGCGCTGTGTTGCAGAGAGAATTTGTCGTGGTATCCGTTGCAAGAGTTTTTTTTTATATCATGAGCAAATTTTCATTATGTCGAAAGCAGTGTTGGGAAAATATCAAAAAATCAGATCTCATCAACGCTCAAGATCACGCTTAATTTTCGTAGACAAAAATCAACAAGCAAACTACTGCGGTTGATTTTGCAAGCTGTGATATCACAGTTCGGAATATCAAGCTAACAAAACTCACCAACTGCAAATCTCACCAAACTGTGGTGAGATTGAGTTTAATGATTGTTGCTTTACACCCGAATGCAACCGAAACTTCCATAACGGCTTGCAGCAGTCCCTCCGCGTCTGCCATCGGTGAAGATTAAAAAGAGATAGCAAACTATGCTGTCTCTTTCTAAGAAAACGATGTGCAATGGAATCATTTTTGTGTCGCGTCAACTCTTAGCTTGATTTTTGCACGTTGTGAATAGTCTCGGAATATCAAAGGAGCTTGTAAAATCAACATCAAGCATTATATTTTGTTCCAATATCACGCGTGATATTGCGAGCGCATGAGAGTGGAAAAATATCAATTGATTTATGATTTAGCCAACACTGGTCGAAAGTAACATTCGCACCGATCCGAGAAAAATAAGGTTTGTTTTGATGACCGAAAAGTTATTCCTATTTATATTTAAACACATATAACCTCTAGCAATGATTCACATATTAAGCAGGGTTTTAATAATACAAAGCAGATCGCTAGTTTTCATGCTAAAAAATACTGGTTTTTGAGTCAAAAGTTATTATACGTCGTTTGGTCCCAATGTTACTTAAGTCAACGTGTATTTACCAGCATATTCAGGAGAATTATCAATCATGTCTCATCACGTGCAGCCTATTAATGATTTTAGGACCACCGAAATCATCTTAGTAACAAAGAGTTCGATTTATTCACTTTAATAGTGAGAAAGCAAAACGACGAACGTACACTTTTCACGGGATTCTCTCCATACAAATTGGGTGACTTAAGTAACATCGAAAAGTATTTTGATCGGGAGGTGAATACGTCAAAAATTTTACAGGTAAATAAATTTAAAAATGTATATTCGGACAGTTTAAAGTTTAATAGCAGGGCATCGATGGACACTGATAGCTCGACTATGTTTACCTTTGTTTTTTCTGCCATTGGAATCAAAAGATCCGGGGGTGTTTTCAAGCGCATATTTCTCCAAAGCATTAATGTAAAATATGTCATGCTATATGCCATTCTACGGGAAATTTATCAAGCTCTTTGGTATGTAGTGTGTGTGTGTATTCAATCTAACCCCCACTAGCCGGCAGTGGTATTATGGAAGAAATTTGCTTACAACAATCCTTGATGTAATAATTTAAAGCAAGTTTAGTCCGGGAGTTAGAAAGCGATAGCTCTACTGCAGATTCAGCAACCCATTTCAGAATGCCTGGTAATTCACGTCCATTCCGAGGTTACTTTCACATACAATAAGCCCCGCATGTAAACACTACCGTTATCATATGAATAATGGTACTGCAAACACACTTCCAGATTTCGAAATGTGATGTTTCGAAATCTGGCGTGTATTTAGTAATACATGGAAATATGCATTTATGATTGATTATAAATCAGATGGATCTCACCAAATTCTGCCTCCGAAAAAGGACCGGTTTGTTCACTCGCGGTAATCGAAAAAATCTTCCGCGTTGTTTTTACAACTCAACACGCTACGACATTTTGAATCATTTTCGAAGTTTTTCATTTGCACCGAATTTTTGCTTGACACCTAATTCGCGTGCATCCTCCGGAAGGCAGAACGCCAGCACCAAGAAAAGAAAAAAATACTCTGTAAAACTCTTCTTGGGAGGGAGGCAAAGCACCAAAAATAAGCGAAATGAAAACACAGCTACTCGAAACAAATTCTTGTCCCATATTTTTCACGTTAATTACAATATCACTAAAAAAAACTTCTTAAGACGTGATAGATCTTAATTTATACTTATCCACACGCGAAAACTAATATTTGTTTGATTTGGTACAATTAAGCTCTTTGGTATGTAGTAAAATAGTGAAAATAGTTAAGCAACTAAGAAACTTAATGAAAATTTGAAGCATTCAATTTTCCCATACAACGTGTCTGTCCTAACCAGAGATGCCAGATTTTTATTTCGGAAGTCTGCAAAAAATGTCTGTGAATTTCAGTAATGTCTGTAATTGAGTTGCATAAAATTAACAGAAGTTTTGCGTGTGACGGGGGGCGGAGAGTCATGTTTTGTCTCGAAATAGTTTGCCAAATTTGAAATTTCAATAAAAGTCATGTTCGAGCAGAAAAGACCTGCTTTTAACCAATTGAACAACGGCGCCGGTGGTGTAGTGGTAAGCGTGATTACCTCTCACCTCAGCAGGCTTGGGTTCAATCCCAGTCGGCGCCACCGGGATGCTCTGAGACATAACATCTCTGATCACGCCTTCCTTCGGATGGGAAGTAAAGCCGTTGGTCCCCGGTTCATGAGTTGATGGGTCGATAGGTAGGGTCCAGGTGTGGGAGCTGCCTTCCTGGCACGTCGGTAGCATTGGTGCTCAGCACGGAAAACAAGATCGACGGAAAAAACAAACCAAAGGAAAAAAAAAACCAATTGAACCTAATTGGAGTTGGGAATGCATCCATTAACGCAGTATACGTTAAAAACAGCTATTAAACAGATAAATTACGATTTCACGACAAATGAGGTCGACTCAAAGTTGCGATTAGTTTACTCATATTCCTGAAATGTAATTAATTCATAGACATAGTAAAACTTTCCGAGCTTTTACAGGAAAAATTGCATTTGACACTTAAGGTTCATGTGACTTTATGGTGCAATTCCCAATTATGATATCACATGAAAGTAATATAAAATTCTAATGTTGGATATGTGATTTATTTATTTATTTATTCTTTGAGTGTATACTTCTAGAATGAGTAAATTTTTTGTCTATTTTCGACATATTCCAAAAGATTTATGAGACTCGAAAATTTCTACGTTCTACGTTTTCTAGAGTTTGAATAATTTAAACTTAAATTTGAGTCCATCTTATATGCCGTGTAGTGTGGAAATTCGTTAGATGCTTAGTACTGGTCCTTTTGCACGCAAGCAGTGGTGGAACGAGAACATCTTAGTGAGATCTTAGTTAGAAATCGACAAACAAAAGAGCAATTTATAGGCAATTCTAAACACTTCATGCTCAAAAAGTGTTAATACATCTCGATCAGGGTTATTGAAACGATTCAGATAGGAATGATTATGGAAATAAACGATGAACTACGCTAAACATTAACACTGTAGTAACGATTTTACAAATACAGTTTTAAAATAAGATATATCAAGCAACGTCTTATTCTTCCTCGCATTTCAAGCTTATTGCATATCGTATATTAGCTTGTTGCGTGCTCTCAACTTAGTGTTCTAGATGCACTTCCACAGTTATTAATTGAGAGCTTTCGATGCCTGTACCATTTTTGCAATCATACTTCTATGCCCAGGGAAGTCGAGACATTTTCCAACCCGAAAAACTCCTAGACTGGACCGGGAATCGAACCCAGCCACCTCCAGCATGGTCTTACTTTGTAGCTGCGCCTTTACCGACTGAGCTAAGGGAGGCCCCGAAACGTATTCATTACATTTGGCAAAATAATTACACACTTTCCGAGAAAAACTTGGATAAATATTTCACAATTTGCTGATACTAACCTTTTTGCCTTTCTCATACACCAAGGTGTTATCTTGAAACATACAATTTCGTTCCAAGACCCGGAGAGACGAATGGT